TTGTTGAATCGTTTAAAAAAGGAAGCGCTTCTGCCGAGCGTTGTCTTCAATTTCAGCAAGAAGAAATGCGAGGAATGCGCCGACTATTTGGGGTCGGAGGACTTAAATGCCGCCAAGGAAAAGAGTCAGGTGGAGCCAAGGGAGGGCGTAGGGAAAAGGGGAGGGTGGAGGGAAGGAGGGAGGAATAAAGGGAAAGAGAGGGGTAGAGAGAGGGGGGGTGGAGCAGGGATAAGATGACTGAAGCATCGCTCAATAACACAACATACCCTATCTATGGTAGGTGCACATCTTCACTTCCAGCGCAATCAAAAGGCTCCAGGCCAAAGACCAGGACCTTCCACAGGTAAAATCTGGTTGAAACGCCTCCTACCCTATAAACCCCCCGGTATCCTTACATGCCTCTCTTTTCCCTCCACCCTCCTTCCCTTCCCCCTTGCCTTCCACGGCAGGTCATCCGGGTACTTGACCTCTGTAAACGCGGCATTGGAGTGCACCATGGCGGTCTCCTTCCCCTCCTTAAGGTAAGCCGAGGCTTACCCATTTATACCTTTCCCTCCGGGCCCTGCGCCCTTTCTCTTTATTTGTCTTACTGTCGGTATTCGGCCTCTCAGACTCCCCCTTGCCCCTCCCTGCCCTCGTGACCCGCCCATCTCATGCGCCCTCCTTCCTCTCTTTGTGACAGGAAATCGTGGAGATCCTCTTCTCGCGGGGCTTGATCAAAATCCTTTTCGCCACCGAGACATTCGCCATGGGGGTGAACATGCCCGCTCGGACGGTGGTTTTCAACGCCTTGCGGAAGCACGACGGCCGAGACTTTAGGGACCTTTACCCTGGTACGTTCCGATCCTTTTCCCGTTCATGCTCCCTCCGCTTTGCTGTCTTCCTTCTCGTCTTCTCCACTCGTTTCAAATTCCTAACCTGCCTGCTCGTCCTCACCCCTTTCCACTCTCCCTTCATCGTTTCCTTCCTCTATCCTTGTCTCTTTCAGGCGAGTATACGCAGATGGCGGGGCGGGCAGGTCGCCGAGGCTTGGACAAAGTGGGTACCGTCATTATCACCTGTTGGAAGGAAGTGCCCCCCCTTCCAACCCTCTCCCGGATGCTCACGGGGAGGGCGACCCTTCTGTCCAGTCAATTCCGCTTGACATATAATATGGTGAGGGAGGGCGGAATGAAGGAGGGAAAGAGGGAGAGGAACCTCGGTGGGAGGGCAGGATTCGTGTTGTTCTTGTTGTCTTGGCTCCCCTCAGTGTATCCCTCCCCTTCCTTTAATAAGGTTTTATGGCCTCTTCATCCACAAGGGATGCGTGCCACAAGAGACACGTGCAAATGGCCTGTTATCTCGCGTCTCACCTCACCGTTCACTTCCCCTCCCTCCTTCCTGTCTTCCCGCCTCTCCTTCTTTCTCCCCCCTTCTCTCACCCCGTCCCCAGATTTTAAACCTCCTCCGCACGGAGGACATGTCGATGGAGGATATGATCAAGCGCTCATTTTCCGAGTTTGCCACTCAAAGGGCTTTAGGCGCTCGTAACCTCCCATTGCAGCTTCAAAAGGCCGAGAAAATTCTCGGAAAAATCCGAAAGGAAGGTTTAGCCCCCTGTTTGCGAGGGGATCCGCCTGCCATCGAAGATTATTATGCACAGAGCCGTCGGACAGCCCGACAAACCACAACAGTCGTCGCTCAGGCATTGAATCTGGCCAAGACTGGGAGCAAATCCATGCTTGGGGAAGGCAGGTTCCTCAAAGTGACCCTGCCGCCCGCCCTCGTCAACGTGTGGGGCCTGGTGGTTCGGGGGCTGGAAGGGG